GTTTATTATATAAACTGTAGTGAGATACAAGGATTTCTAACACTGAGAAAAATCGTATTTATCTGACACATGTGTAATAAAAATGGTATTACATGGGTATGACGTCGAGAGATTATTAGCCAATCGCTGATCAACATTTGATCACTTGACATGTAAGTTTCGCGCCACTGTCGACGCGCGTACGCGTTGTTTTGCTTTGACAAAGAAAGTCGAGCATAGAGACAACTACGAGCAAACAATGGTTTATTCCTTCGATGAATATCTAAAAAGAATTCACTACGTTGAGTCAGTTTATATCACATTAAACTTACTTTGAACAAGTTACACACCCTCAAATCCAAACGAAAGCAACTTAATATGCGATAAGTATTTCTTATATAGTTTGAACAATTATGTGTATTGGTATTATAAACATTTCTATGTATTTTTCATCATGATATTTCAATTTTGCGAGCCGGACGTCTCGTTCATAATTTGTTATTTCAAGAGTTGTGGACATTTAACGCAATAAAGTTGACTTTGAATGTAAAATTTTATTTATTTTTGTTTATATTCGCTGCGCTCACTCGTTCGATATCGAGTTGAACACTCGAAGATAAATTTGATATCTCCGCGCGCCCATGTATTATCCTCTATTTATTATTTTTTAWAATTCATAAGACTTTTTTTTCAGGTTTTGCGTACCTATTTTTCTATTTCGAGGATTACACGCTCATTGTATTTACAAAAACGGCTTTAATAATAAAAATACTGCTATACGATAGCAAAAATACTAGTGAAAATGGAAATATCATGAATAGAAATTTATCTACATATTACATCAAGAAAGTTAAACAACCCTGTTTGGAAATGTGTTTTCAGCCCAAAAAAATTCTTTTGAATATCAATTCTTGGCAGGGAGTGTGTAGCTCATGACAATATTGAAATGGCGCGCTAGTTTTTGTTGTAAATCAAATTGTTCCTTCCGCCTCAAAACTTTCCTGAATTCTATTAACGAAAATAATGAAAACAAAGCTAAAATGTTGGAGTCGCCTTTATCAAGGTTTTCAGAAAGTTTGTACTATCGATGAATTCGCGGAAAAAGTGGTTGAAAACACAAGTTCTGCGTAGAGTTGGTTTTTGAGAGAGACAATGAACGAAAGATATGCTACATTTAACACTGACTTCAGTAGTTCTACAGGAATCGTTTTTTTACAACACGAATAGTAACGTAGAGTGTCCCAAGTGAATAGCTCAAGCGAAACAGCGCTATTTTCAAAGCAAAATCGAGTGTTTTTCAGTTTACAAGTAAACGATTGCCCTGATGGAACAATATTCAGTTCAGTGAAATATTCTTGTTTTTTACAAGACAATCCATGATGTTCCTCGAGCCAAACCGAAGGATGTTGCATCTCAATTCTTCCAATTCGATCTTCATCTTTTTACAGTAGGCACTGGATTCAAACCAGTTCTTATAGTTTTTTGTTGGTTAGACTCGTACTATGATATTTCTTGACATCCAATAGATTTCTTTTATTACTAAACGATGCCGATTCACAGGAGCGTCTCCCATTCACCGTGAAAACAGGACTCGGTCTGGTTCCATGACAGCGCTTTTTTGCCCTCTCCTCATCTCCATCGAGTATTTTCTCAAATTTCCCTTGCGTTCATTACTGAGCGGCGATGGAGTCCTAGTGAAAACAGGAGTGTCTGGTTCCATGACATCGCTTCTTTGCCCTCTGTTCATCTCCATCGAGTATTTTCTCAAATTTCCCTTGCGTTCATTACTGAGCGGCGATGGAGTCCTAGTGAAAACAGGANTTGTTGTAAATCAAATTGTTCCTTCCGCCTCAAAACTTTCCTGAATTCTATTAACGAAAATAATGAAAACAAAGCTAAAATGTTGGAGTCGCCTTTATCAAGGTTTTCAGAAAGTTTGTACTATCGATGAATTCGCGGAAAAAGTGGTTGAAAACACAAGTTCTGCGTAGAGTTGGTTTTTGAGAGAGACAATGAACGAAAGATATGCTACATTTAACACTGACTTCAGTAGTTCTACAGGAATCGTTTTTTTACAACACGAATAGTAACGTAGAGTGTCCCAAGTGAATAGCTCAAGCGAAACAGCGCTATTTTCAAAGCAAAATCGAGTGTTTTTCAGTTTACAAGTAAACGATTGCCCTGATGGAACAATATTCAGTTCAGTGAAATATTCTTGTTTTTTACAAGACAATCCATGATGTTCCTCGAGCCAAACCGAAGGATGTTGCATCTCAATTCTTCCAATTCGATCTTCATCTTTTTACAGTAGGCACTGGATTCAAACCAGTTCTTATAGTTTTTTGTTGGTTAGACTCGTACTATGATATTTCTTGACATCCAATAGATTTCTTTTATTACTAAACGATGCCGATTCACAGGAGCGTCTCCCATTCACCGTGAAAACAGGACTCGGTCTGGTTCCATGACAGCGCTTTTTTGCCCTCTCCTCATCTCCATCGAGTATTTTCTCAAATTTCCCTTGCGTTCATTACTGAGCGGCGATGGAGTTCTAGTGAAAACAGGAGTGTCTGGTTCCATGACATCGCTTCTTTGCCCTCTGTTCATCTCCATCGAGTATTTTCTCAAATTTCCCTTGCGTTCATTACTGAGCGACGATGGACTCCTAGTGAACACAGGAACATCTGGTTCCATAACAGCGCTTCTTTGCCCTCTGTTCATCTCCGTCGAGTATTTTCTGAATTTTCCTTCGAAAAACTGCGGACTTACTGACTTTTCTTTAGGATTGTCATCATCAGGGCTGTTGCTCGTTGAGCTCTTGTAAACCGGAACGAAACGGTAGCCATCACTATCGACACGCTTTACAAGCTGCCAGTAAGAAAATTGAGAATTTGGTGGTCCGGAAAACGGACTGTAAACAACGTCCTGGGAAATATTTTTGTTCTTTTGTGTTGAATTTGTGTTCCCCATGTTGCGAGCACTATAGCAATTGCGTGAAACTCAAACTGGTTGATAGATGGTAAAGTTTTATTTTCCATATCAATCAACCAGAAATTAAAAGTTAAAAGTTAAAATATTCTAATGACGTCTAAACAGTGAATTTTAATTTCAACATCATGACGTTCTGAATTAGTTGCAATTAAGGTAGATAACACCTCATATTGACTAATTAAACTATTTCGAAAATAACAAAAATATGAACAGAAAAACAACACCGATTAATACAAACAACAACAACAACAACTTTGTTTTTCACAGAAAGATTACAAAAAGTTACATGCGTATATACATAAATTTTAATATAAAAAGTAATGTATATAGATATTTGCAATAATTCTGACCCACCTACTATAATACTCATATTTATCATATAATTATCTATGAAAATACCTATATTTATCATATAATCTATAGATAGATATATTTCTCCATTACGTAAAGTTGATATTTTCACTAGTGAAAATAACACATTTGCGGTTTTTCTATATAGTGGAAGTAAGAAAAAAGGTATTTTACGACATAATTTGCTTTTATATGTACGCTACGCTCACTCGTGAGAGAGCTTTTCAACACTCGAAGATAAAATCCGTGTCTCCATACGCCCATGTAATATCCTCTATTTCCGATATTCAGTATTACAAGTAAAGTTATAATTCAATATTTTGGGTGTTTTTGCACCATCATTTACCAGCATTGTCCAGCATTATCTTGATATTTAATGTCAATATTTTGGTTGTTTTTGCACCATCATTTACCATCATTGTTCCAGCATTATCTTGAGCCACTTCTCGTAGCACATTTCTTATTGTTAAACGATTCTGGAATTTTTGAAACATTTGCCTTGTCAGTTGCCTGTAGTTCTTCATCGCCATACGAGATATATGGAAGGTCGCCTCTATTCTTGTACACTGGCACAAAGCAATAACCATCACCATTCTCGCACTTCACTAGTAGCCAATGGGACAAAATGTGACTTGATGGACCACGGAAAGGACTGAAAACTTCATCACTTGCCGATGAAAAGCAATTTCCCATTTTGAAAAATTCTTTGAAAGTTAAAACGAGGAAAAAGTCTTATTGACAGCCGTTTAAAACCAAGTAAAATAACAAAGTTCGCTGATTTAATCCTTAATTTATAATTATAGTACCACGTGATCAAACAATATCACATGATCAAATCGGTATCACGTATGTTTCTTGAGTGGTAAAAATATTGAAAACAGCCATCATTACCAAGCCCTCCCCCCTTAGAAATATTTTGTCTCTTCCTATACCTTGCATAGCGTCAGTATTCATCGATGCCTCCCATACACACGTATTTAAACTCAAGATATTCATCAAGTCCATATTTGGATCCTTCTCGACCCAGTCCACTCTGTTTAAACCCGCCATGGGGATGAATCTCTGATACAATGTTACCCTCGTTAACGCCAACAATTCCTGCTTCCAACGCTTCCGCTACGCGCCATATTTGGCTATGGTCACGTGAGAAGAAGTAACCTGTTGAAATAGAAAGAGATTTGCCATGTGGGACAGAGACAGTTGTAATCTACGCGCATGCGTAAAGGGAATGACCAGTGAAACCATTTTGGAAACGAAGGATTATGGACAAAGTAATCCTCGCTATGTTTACCAAAATAGTTCACCAAATTCTCTGTAGACACGATGTAATATAGCTTGTCTAAAATTTAAAACATTAATTCACCTGAAAGACCAGCAGTTGTTGCGTTTGCTAAAGCAATTGCATCTTTTTCTGTTTTAAATCTACAGAATGAATAAAAAACAACAGTTAAGTAAAATCTAATTGTCACTATTCAATCGTTGTTACAAGAGACCTAGAAAAATGTCAAAGCTTTTTCTTGTAATTCAACACGGAGTCTACGCTTTTACGTCACCTACTTGATTTGCAATGCATTGTGGGATCAGTTTCTAGAGAAGACAAAAGAAATCCGCCATGTTTTTGTCTCAAACATATCCTACAATGCATTGCGTATGTGGTATATGTCGTAAAAGCTGTTACTCGCTGACTATTTTTTGTCTTAGTGAGATTTTAAATGTGTATGGAGTCGGGTAGAGTTTAAGGGTCAATAAGGGAGTGCGCAAACCTGATAAGTGGCGTTAGTGGACCAAACGTCTCCTCTTTGCATACTAACGAATCAACTTTCACATCACCAAGAAGCGTCGGCTCAAAGAAATTATGTCCAAGTTTATGACGATGACCTCCTCGTAGGAGCTTAGCACCCTTGGATACCGCATCGGCGATATGTCGTTCGACCTTAAAGAAAATGAATATTGTCAGCTCTCGCTATTACGAACACCCCCGGGACCGTAATTTAGTGTCCGCAGTAGCGAGAGTCCGTTATAACGGGAGTTACTTTCAGTCATTTCTTTGTATTTTTCGCCGGGGATTCACTATTTCGTGTCCGTAATAGCGGGGTGTCCGTAAGGCGAGAGTTGACTGCCGTTGCGTTGTGATTGGTTAATCTAATACAAGGCTATCAGCTTATATCCCTTTCAGGGCCATCACTAACCGGCATCCCTCACGAGCTTCAATTAATTCATGTTTGAAGACAAAAATACATCGTAATATAAGCAAAAACCTACTCGGCTCTATGAATGAAGATATTGTAAGATTCGAAGTTAAAACCGACGCGATGGAAACAGATTGTGAATAATAAAAGAAAAATAAATAAATAAAATGAAGTTGGGGGCCTGGAATCTAATTGCGTAATCACATAATCAAAGTGCCAATCAAAATGACGTCACAATAAATTAACTAATTAGATGCAGGTTTCAGACAGGAGCCTGACGTCACTTCATTTCAGGAGCGTCAAATATTCTTGAAATCTTCAAATTTCGCGTTTTTCGTACACAAAGTGTTAATATTTCATTCATGAATCCTAAAGTTTCGGTAAGTAAACAAGCCATGACAGTATATTTTTGCGCTGTTTCGATTTTTTTTCGAAGTTCTAACTCGTCATGATTTTACTTATTTTCTTCGTAGATATCACAATGGATCGTTTAAGACAAAGAAGAAACGAGCGCAAGCAAAAGTCACGCCCTACAGGATGTCTTGCTAGAGCGTGGCATGCTGTCGTGAATTTCTTTTTTTACTGCATCGTGAACAGCACTGCTGTGGATGACGACCAAGGTAAATACAAAACACTGCACTTTTATGTTGTTTCTGTACGTTAAAAATATCAGTTTCTTCTGCTGCTATAATTCATTGAAATCGCAATCCACATTTTCCACGTTTTCAAAACTATATATAATAGGAAACTAACCTAGATATATAGAAATAAAACAAAAATAAGTCTTATGTACATACTTCGCAAACTTTGCGGCGGGTATGTTCGGGTTATGTCCATAAAACTTTTTTCGTTTTTCGTTTTTGGTTTCTTTTTTTTCAATTTTTCAAGAAATATAAAGTTTGCATCTCAGCGCAAATGAAAAAAGGAGGAAAAAAAGAAAGAATAAAGAGACACAAAAAAGGAAATTACAAGTTGAAAATCTGAATTAGCGTGACGTCATCAACAACTTAGGAGTTAATTGGATAATAAGAACCAATTAAGAAAGCGCGTACTGTGAAATTCGAACAAAAAATGGATAGAAAAACAGAAAGAAAGACAGTCGGGACTGACAGACAGCTACATGTCGATCAATCGATGAATGCTTAGTTTGATTGAAATGATTATCCTTCGTTTCAGTACCCGATGAGGCCGAGCAGTACGTCCCATCTCATCAAGCTTCACAAGCCTCGTTGAAGTCGCAAAACAGCAGCCTTCACAACGTGCTGTTTCACAATACAAGCAGTCACGAACCACGACATTTTAATTGCAAAGACCGTCAACCATCCGTAGATGCTTCGCCAAGCAAAGTCAGCCTCAAATCTCAACTCTCGACACAAAGTAAAAGTTCGAGCAAAAAGAGCGAAAAGAGTTGGCTTTTCCCTTGGAACAABAAATCCAATCAAGTAACTCCCGTTGAGAGCTTGGCATCACTTGGCGGTACTTCGYTGACAAGCATCGTAATTGACAAGAGTCGCGGAAAGGTAAGTTATGGAATACTTGATCAATCGAAGAAGTGATCAAAACAACTAACTTTATCTATCTTTCCTATGTCCACAGGAGACACACTCTCCTCGCGATACCGCAGACTTGTATGTTCCCAATAGATTTGATGTGGTAGAAGCAGAGGTGAGATATAGAAGACTTGATCAATCGAAGCACTGATCAAAACAATAACAGTGATGACTAACTCTAGCTATCTATGTTCACAGGTGCAGACACACTCTTCTCGCGCTACCGCAGACAGGGATGTTCCCAATAGATTTGATGTAGTCGAGGGAGGCACCATTCCAGACGTTTACAGCCTCATTAAGCGTACTTTGAGTTGGGGAATTCGTCCTGACGCAACAACTAAACAYGAGGACAAGAACGAAACTCCACAAACTCTCTCACGTACATCCGAACAAAAAGAAAAACAGGGTCCTAAAGACAAGCCAATGTTACCAAGAAGCGCTTCCATGCCGGTGATCAAGCTCGAGAATCAAAACATCAATACCGAGCTCAAAAGGAGTGTTTCTTTACCATCTTTGAAACATGACAGCTTGCCCTCCAAAGACCCACAGCAGAAACCTGATGAAAAACTAGACAACAAAGATGAGAAAGCCAAGCCAATAAAGACATCACATAAACTAAGGGTCTTGTTCTCCAAGAAAAAACATCTGCAGAAGTCCTCTGRTGTGTCCGTGAAAGCAGACACCAGCGATGTCAAGAAGAAATTCTTCAAGAGTATTTCGCTACCATCCCTAAGACTTAACGGTCTGTTCTCC